CCTAATGGATGTACATTTTTTTAATGGATCTCGCAATGACATTGTTTGGTGACACGTACTGTCTTCTCTGTGTGAGAGTAGCCCCAATGATTGTGGATTTGGCGAAAACTGTTGAAAATACTGAAAATCTTTCGTACTTTGGGAGTGGGATAACAATGGAGTCGGGGGAGACGCCATAGGGTTTTTTTTCATATTACCAGCGCCTGCTGTATTTATGACAAACAACTGAGTTGAATATGTGTCTTTTTTTGTTTTTAATAGCCTACGAGAGTATCTTCTGAGGTTTACAGCTTCACTCACCGTTGATTTTTTCGTCGTACTAGTTTGAAATTTATTTACAGAAATCATAGGTTTCCATTCGTACTGTACAATTGAGGAATGACTCTCTTTTGACATATCGTAGCATTTACTTTTTAAGCTGAATATGGAACTATTTTTTATATTTCGACGAGAACGGGTAATACATATACAAGATGGCGACTTCCAAAATAGTGTCTTTCCTTCTTTTTTCAGTATTTGATACTTTGGATACTTTTCATGCTGAATTTGATGTCGTTTCACTCCATGGATTTTTGTTCCAATTTTAGAATCAACTGATAAATCCCGAGGCTTAATTGAAATTGCTTCTGGCATCGATGACATCGTAATATTGGGTGATTTTTCTCTCCTTTTATAACTTCCCAAAACTTGAAAAAAATATTTATATTTGGGCTTTCTACCTGCATCTTGTGGTTTATTGCTATTTACTGAATTAATTAATTCGCAAAATGTCTGAGATACACTTTCAGTGGCCAGTTTTTCTTTATTTTTGTATTTACCACACTGGATGAGTTTAGAAAAGCAATGATTAATTGAAGATTTCAATAACTTACGTCGGTTTTTGTCTAAATAACTACTACCGAACAAATTATGCAACTTCAGTATTGATGGTTCTTTATGTCGATCCAAGGAATTACTATCATTAGTATTCTGTTCTAGCTCCGCTAGTTCTGTTTCGCAAGGGCTGGAGTTAATTGTAAAATTTTTAATTGGAGTTTGCGACTCTGACGTGTGTTTATTGTTTATTGTATAGTTTCGATTCAACTCGGGTAACTGGACCAAAGATTGTGAGCGTATCGCGGTTTGTGAATTTTTTTTGGACATATTTTCACATTTAGTACTACAATAAATTGTTTCTTTTCGAGGATAATTTAGTATTTTACCTCTTATTATGTTTTCCATGAAACATGTGTCGATATAAGAATTAACATTTGAGGTATCAGTTTTTATGGATTTACTTAGAAGTGATTCTTTTGTAATTGTTTTATTCTGAAACTTCGATTTGGTTTTCAATGGCTTATGTTGTATTAGTTTTGGCTTTGCTTGAATTGTTTTTTTGAAGTAAATAGACTTTGGAAGCTCAAATATTGTCTTAGGTAGGTCTTTCAAGCCCCACTTAAATATCTTAGATTTAGCATTAATTTTTTTCCAAAATTTTAAAGTGCAAAAATAGCTTATAAGCGTACGTATAGTGGCTGGTTTATTTTTTATTAAAAAGCTTTTGGTCTGACCAGGTTCAAATTCTATTTTTATCGTATCTAAATTGTCCCCAACAGATGTAATGACACTTTTTGTAATTAAGCTAGGTTTTGTAATGTTTTCGGCGCCAACGATTTGTAAATTTCCTTCTCCCATTGTACCATAATTATACTCTAAGGAATTCTTAGATATGTTGTACTGTAAACCTTCATTTTGACTCTGATATTGTCTATTATAAAGTGAACATATGGACGCCTTTTCTTTTATTGCACAATCAACACTTGATGATAGCTTTGATTTGGTCGCAGGTTCTGACCGTATGAGCTTTGCTTTACGACTTCTTACGGTTCGAAGATCTTTTTTCTTGTTCGATCTTGATATTATATACACCTTTTTACCAGTAATATTATCCCGTATGTATCTTGTACCAGCTTCGCGAGCAATAATACTCGAGTTGCATGAACAACAAGTACAAATATTAATCGATTTCTTTGATTGTGACATTTCGTCTTTACTTTTTAACATAATCGGATCTAAAACGACGCTATTTGAAACTGTCTCTTTGGTTTCTTGGGTATGTTGTATATGATACTTTATTGAAGTAGTCAGTACTTTTTCAGACGTTTTGACCTAGCTTCTCTTTGCAACTTTTCGTTCATTAAGTACATATCGTGCCCTGATGGTTGCAATCCTTTTTTCTTTCAAGAGTAGGTATACACTTTACGAAATACAATTTGTCAATACTAGAGCCCTCTACAAATATTCGTCGTAGTGACGGTTTGTCTACGACTTTCCTGTAAGGACAAGATGAACACGTAGAGCTCTGTCGTGATCCTCGGACATTTTCATCGTGTGTTGTCTTCTATGTGACTGTAATACATATCCACAAACAAAGTAACAAATTTCAACGCACACAACTTCACATTTACTTCTACATCACGCGTTGTATGGACATTGTACCTGTGAACATTTTTAAAATAATTTAAAGAGTACTGTGTGCACTGCAATAGATGTACAAGTGATTCTATACGAATGGAAAAATAGATGATACGCTAAATATAAGACGGAACATTGCAATGTAATAGCAAAAACTATAATTATGTTGCAATAAATATATGTATATTCTATAAAGCAGCCCTTGACGTCTTAGCCTTTCAAAGTGCATGCTTAGTTGTAAATTTTCGAGTATTGATAAGTGTTGCGTAAATAGGTATAAGTAGGTACTATCACCGAATTGAGGCATTTGTTATCTGAAGGCCCTGATGTGATTCTTCGAATCGCCAATTTATATATAAAAATTGAAGAACGATGACGAAAGACGATGAGTTAATTGACCTATTATACCGGGAAAGTGAAATTGGCATCGAGTATATACTCGTAAATGCTCGATGGAAATTGGTAACGCTGTGATAGGCAGGTATATAAATAAAACGGGGTTTTTTAACAATAATATTGACATCATTGAAAATATTGATATTTTGATCCTCACGTGTGAGCCAGCTACTTACAGGACAAAACTCGTAAAGTATGTAGTCAATTCATCTACATTTCAATTAGACGTGAGAACTTCACTAGGCGACATTTAGTTGTAACGTAGTCACCGACTGCACATTATGGTCACACGGCAGTCACAGAAATTTTTGCACATACACAAACATTGCACAATTTTGAACAATTCAACAACCAAACTCATTTCATTAATCGCAGAAAATTTATTTGACAATAATGTCACTGATTTTTTGAAGGAAGATTTGAATTTTGTTTTTTTTTTTATACTTCGCATGCCAGTAATACATAATATATTTTTGACTAAGAGTTCATAACAGAGCTTTGAGCAGAAGTTTGGAGCGCATTATTAATACAATAATGTAGTTTTTACGTATCTCCACTGAATGTTGTCGAGATTTAGTAGATTGAAGTTTAGGTAAGTTAAAGTATTTTTTTATTATTATATTATATTGTTTTCTATTTACTAATAGTCAATGCTTTTAGTACACTATGAATTAAATAATAAAAAATTAACATCTGATGACCCGCACAAGCACGTGAAAATCGGGGTTCCGAATTTCCGAACCGATGTATATAGTTCATCTTTAGAGCATATAAGTTCATCAAACTAACAAGTAAATATAATTTCACTGTTGTTCATCTGTTGTTTTAATATTTTTAAGCAATAGCTAATAAAATTAAAATAGACTTTGACCAGTAAACTTGAAATCGAAATTATCACACCGTCCGTGAATAGTTTTACGATTAACGCTAGGCGCAAATCTAGCGGGCGGCCACGCAACATTGGTAAGTCGTGACAAGTACAATACGCTTGTATTTTAGGCACCCGCTTGTCGCGCTTGCCTATATTCTACTCAGATAATTGCAGCGGAGGACGGTCACCCAAGTTAGGTCACACATGGGTTAAACAATACCTAGTATAAGTATAGAAAACGCAGTGAACGATTGAAAAATTGAACAGAAGTATATTAACAACAGCAAAAATAAGAGAAGTAATACTGAATATCCTATTTGGCGGTTTAGATAGGTATACAGATACCTAACCCTACATTGATATAATTAATTTTGTTTGATAGTTATTAAAACAATAAGCAATTGAACCTTCTGGAACCCATATTTACTAAATTAACTTATCCAGAACTTTTATTAACACTAAATTGCTGAGACGTAAGTTTCATTTGAGGTGAGTGACATCCCGGACACCTGCGTGACAGGTTGCTAGCGCTGAACTTAAAGCAAACTTACCATAAACTTCGACAAGACAAATCTGTACGAATACGAAGTTCCAAAATGTAACTTCACGACACACAACACCACAACAATTTTTAGCACTTATTCATTCACTGAGAAGTACTTCACTAAACAAGTTTTTACGAGTTTTTTTTTAACCTTTGCAGCACGCAATATACACTACCCACTCCATCAAATGACAAAACCAAACTAAATCGTGTCGTTTATTTGAACTGCCGGCAAGCGAACTTTCAAAAAGCTTCACATCCGACTCCGTAGCGACACCTATGTTCATATTAGAAACCAAATAAGTCTTGGTGACTTTTCTAAAATGTTACTGTTTGGGCTCACTAGAGGCCGCTATGGAGCTAAGATTAAACTACTATAGCGTTACATCAGATGGCGTCACAGGTTTTGTTACAATTTTACCTCATAAAGTTTTGAAACAAGATATTTAGTAACAAAAAATGTCAGTATTTTGTAATTAGTCAACATAAAACATCATCACAGTCCCCAATTTTAATATAATAAGTGGGAACATTTTTTACAGAACAGTTTACTGTAGTAGAATATTTGAATGCCAAACAGATTGTGATCAGTAACTAGGTATTTTAAATTACAAGTATAACATGGACAGTAAAAAGTAAATTCAGTTAATAGTTTACTTCACAAGACCTTAATTATTATGTGGTACAACATACATAATGTTGTCTAATACAAAAAAAAAATGTATTGGATAAAATTATAATCTTTATTATTCAGTTTATATAAATTCTTAATGGTTAATCAAAATCTCTATACACACATTTAAAATATGTATACTAAATAAATTATTTGCTAAGAATTACTTCCTCCATTTTCACTCGTATCAGATTCACTGGGGGGCCACATACACCTTGTGTCTTTTTCTTTTGCGGCTGAGTCCAAGAACTTAGCTTGAGCTTCCAATACAGTTTTACTGTCTGTGCAAGCAGCATACAGCTCTAATACCTCAGAATTGAGTTCTAAAAATGAATGACCCCATGAAAATTTTGATAAATAAAACTGTGCTTCTTTTTCATGTCCTGTTATAACCATAGCCGCTGCAAGTGCCTCAACACAGCTTAGTTGATATGGTTTACCATAATTTATAGGGTTAGCGGCCACTAAGAATGGTAGCAAGCGAGGATGAAGAGACTTCATGCGACTGAATGGAGTTTCATCTATCTTTGCCCAAGAACAATCAATAACTGCTAAACCAAATTTTTTAATGATTTCTTTATCATTTGGGCTGACACACTGGGTACCAACAGGAGATAACACCACACCTGGAAAACGGTGTCCCAACTTCAAATTTTTGATGAGCTTATGTCGCAGTAGTTTTCTTCCAGAACATTTTTTTGGGTCACAATGATTCAAGTCCCACATGCTGACGGCAAATGACGCTTCTACGCCTTCGTCGTTAGAACTACTTCCGTCACTTTCATCAGATGACGACTGTAAGGTTAGGTCGTTCATTCGCTCGGCATAATGTCGTTGCACATGATGATTTGAACGCTTTCCATGAATGTTCCCTTTTTTCTTAGAAGACATGTTATTTCTGTAACAATTTAATCGTATAAAAAAGTTCATTGATATAAATATTTATTTTAGGTACTTATGCACTTCTATTGCCTATTTCGTTTCTCGTAATTAAGTAAGTACTTAAATTAAATTCCACTTACAGAAAGTGACCCAACGAAAACAGCAACTATAGTTTTCACAAATAATCTTTAGCAGAGTTCAACATTATTTCAAAATTTCTCACAAAAATAATAGTGTTCTTTTTTCTTCTTTTTCTTATTTATTGGTGGCTTGTTCTGTGTCTTTCTCGATTCCGCCAATTATTGTTCTTTTACTAACCTCTTCGAGGGTACTTTTTTCCTTTTTTGACTGGTTTTCATGGCTCTGGCTCTGGGATAGTTTGAGCCAATCGTCAAAATGTTTACTTTCATATAATTGTGTAAGTCAATGTTTCATAACGAAAATATAACACTTTTATAGTAAAACGAAAGGAAGGACTTTAGTAAACGTGACGTTAGAGGTGGGGGTTGCGGGAGGTAGGGGGAGGGGAGGAAACCCCTGCAAAATTTCAAAGTTAGAATGTTGGTAGTTTCCGAGATATTAATTTTTGAAAAATGATGTTTGATAAATGACGTTGCGTTTTATTGTTGAAATTACGAAATTGTTATTGAATTATTGCTATTTCAAAGTAACCTTTTTAAGAAATAATATTTTAAATATATTATAATGAAAATGCTATTGTTTAAAAACGAATAAAACATAATATACTTTCAAAATTTAAACAACTCATGATATCAACACAGTGGAATGTCGAAACGCAAGACATTAAATTGCGTTCGCGTGCTTTTTTGACATACTTTTCGGATTAGGTAGTTGTCAAATGCGTTTTTTTGCTTTAATTTTCACGATATTCAAAAATTATATTCTCGAAAACCTTTGACGTCCTAAAACTGAAAATTTGTGGAGGGTTCCATTTGACTTGGTCTATCTCCAAAATTGAACGCCCAACTCGACGTCACGTATACTAAAGTTGAGCCAAACGAAATTTCGTTCATTGTGTCCAGCGTTGCTAATGCCAATTCTTCAAAATCCCCATAAATCACGGTTAAAATCCCCAAATCTGGGGAGAGCAAAGTTCATATTCCCCACAAATTCCCACATCTAGAGTTTTCATTATTTATTACAAATACATCGCTTAAAAATATAATAATGAATTGAGAAACTCAAATGTAACCACAGACATATTTTATATCTAGATAGACGCCGCAAGTGTACGTACTTCGCGTGCCCAAAGTAAGTAAAATTCACTTGTCGCTGCTACACTTCAGAACTCGCTCGACCGTTATCGTGGATAAACACAGGTCGAAAACGCGAAAAAATGCATAATTGTGCCATCACAAACTGCAAAAGCACAATAACTGTCGGTAAACTGATAAACTGTGACGTTTCCTTCCACGGGCAAGTGATTTTGTTATTAGAAGATGCATAATTTATTTTAAAAACAATTATTTTGGTTTTGTATGAATTTCGAAAAAACAAATATGCAACCGAGTGTATGCCTCATGATTTGTAATACATTGCGGCTTTTACTTGGTGCGATATATTTGTGATCCTTTGTTAATACACCATGAATATCGAACGAACGCACTTTTGTATAATGCATTCAGTTTCGTGGTATGGGCGCTTGTACATTTCTTTGGCCAAATTTAACATTTAATGATTATACGTTAGGTAACACTGTTCTTGATTTTGATCGCTATTGAAAACAAAGGGACGAAAATTATTATGACCTTAGCAATATTATAAAAATATTCTGTAAGTATTTTGTTATAACGTTTCGTTTTTTTTTCTTCAGTTTTGTAGTACCTATTTATTATGAGTAGTATGTGTAACGTGTGTCTATTTCGATAATTTTTGCAGCACGTTGCCTCGAATGTCCAAATATAGTGAGCAAATAATTATATACATCGCCGGCAATGTAGTATTATTAATAGAAAAAAATATATAATGCAAAGTGATTATCACTAGTATCAGGTTTCTTACCACGGTATGACTTCTTTTTATTTTCCCGATATTTTCACGGGTTAACCCGTGACCATGGAGCGTGCAACCGTTCCGAAATATCGGGAAAATAAAAAGAAGTCATACCGTGGTAAGAAACCTGATGCTAGTGATAATCATTTAGTGAATAACCACGAAAGTCTTAAAATCTATATATTATTATAATGCAAAGAATTAACAGTGCGCTGTCTTTACAAAAACCTGGAGTTGGTCATATGTATGAGTTCGTTGCTTTCAAGGACGAAAGTGGTCTAGTTTACTCCACCTAAGATTTTATCCAAATATGCATAGTAGCAGAGTTAGAAATAATAAACAAATTACAAACTTTCACACGAGACCGTCATTAAGTAAATTTACTCTGATCATTTGACACTAATGCGTCAAAGCGAGTGGAGCATTAGCTTCATTCGGTTGTAAGCGAATGTTTCTAGCAACGCTTTACTGATCGAATTTTTTTGATGTAAAGCATGATCCTGCATCTGAAATAATTATTTTAGGGTTACCAAACGTATTCGATATGTTTTCTAAGTCTTTTATGACACCTGAAGTTTTGGTTCAACGGACTGCTGATTTCAGCTGATTCATCTTGTCTTGAAGCTACCTTAATATCTTTGGGTTTGTTTCGTGGACCAACTTCTCCGCATGGATATTATAAACTGTTCAAAATTCCCTACCTTTTTAATTAAATTCCGAACAACGTACTCAAAAAATGACAGTTGTCGTACCTAAATATGCGACGCATAATTTCTATACACCTCATAGGTTACGGCTAGAAAAAACGACGGAAAGGTATGTATATTGTACGTCCGTGCTCCATTTGATGACAATGGCGATTATTCAATTGCCCAAGGTCGTGCCGTATGGAAGTGATGAGTTGATGACTCATGCTTGCGTCCGGACATCGTCCGGACAATGATCACGCAATAATCTAGATAATGCTAACAATGTTGTTGTACCAGGAAAAAAAATATCACTTTTCTTAATACATTAGTAGCGATTCAGTCGCAATGCAGTAATTGTCTACCTCCTCGTCTACCTTTACACATACGCGCAACTTAAGCAGCGATACAATCGCGATGCAAAAGCGTTGCATGTTTTTAATGATTCACCATAAGCGACTGCATCCATGCAGTCGTGCTTTTATGCCGATGCAACCGCCTGTAAATCGCAAGTGTCGCGATGTAATCGTGCGTTTCACAAACACGATTAGGTACCGATATTTTCCTCGGACTGTGAAATAAGTACCTACCGAGATTATCATCAGTGTCATCACAAACCGTGTGTATTATGATCGCTTATACACGTGTGAGGCATCTACCATTTGCTAGTGTTACTAACATTACCGGATTATGATCACGATGAGGTGTGGGCAGAGGTATATAAAAAGGACATTACATTAAAGCGGTCCAGTGCTAAAATGGCGACCATTGTATTCGTGCTGGGAATCTGCGTGATTTTAATAGGGTGGAGCGGGGCAGCTCCTAACGACCGTGAGTTATTTGTGAAATTTATTTACGAGTACATACCTACGAACCAAAGCTCTACATTTCTATGTTTAATTGTCTTGTTGAATCCAATTTTGTTAATGACAATGAGGAACCCATTTTGGCTGTCTAACCACCTATATACGTTATCCAGACTGTCCTGAAAAATTTTGATTTTCATATCAATGTTGACAGAAAAAAGAAAGTGAATCGTAACGCTACCGCATTTGTTAGTTGTACGGCGAAGGTGATATTGTGGGCGGCATTGCATTAATGTTGTTAAACTGAAAATCGAAGTGAAGTTTTTTGAATTGTTTAGTTTTTCAATTGTTTATTATTATTACTATACTACAAATTTTCTAGGATGATCCCTGTGACACTTCACAAAATTGTACATGATATAACCTTGTAACGACGTCCACTAATTTACGTATTGTATAAACTATTTTTGTAAGTCTCGCTTTTAAGTGAATAATATTTGTTTAAGCAAATACATAAAATTAAAGCAAAAGTAACACAAAATTAGTGAGAAATGAGCAGAGAAACAATTTTTTATTCAAAAATGAATTTATTTTCACGACAACGTCAAAAGGTTACTTCGTTAGACTGCATTTGCTAGAGATGAGGTATAGGTATCGATAAAAAGTGTTCGATAATTGAATGAATATAGTGCGTACACGAGTTTCACCAATTACGTAGTTAGTGATATGATTTTAATCTTTTTAATTTACATTATGAGTCAGTTTGAGAAAATTTATTAAAATATCAATTGAAATGGCATTTTAATTTAGTTAATGTTTTATGCCTTCAGTGCAATACAAAACACTTTATACATCTATTCAAAGTTTTCGTGAGGCAGGAGACTCCATTATTTATTTTATTTCTTCTCGGGCACCTACTATACAGGGTGTAACAGAAAGGTGTGGTCATATTTGAAGGTCGGATTCAGTTAATGGTATGAAACTAGTTAGCAAAGTTGTTTTAGTACACACTACGTTATTTGTGGAAATTTCGCCATGAACAGTTTCGATCAGCTGATGTCATTTAACGAAAATAAATAGTCACATCACATCTCTATTGAGTATCATAATACAACCAAATTACGTAACTTGAAAAAATTGTGAAATTCAGGCATATTATTGTAAATGATAAAGTACTTAATGCCATATTCTTATTACTATTTATAATTTACTAAATTTATTATTATTTTATTCATGTAATATGCGTGTGAACATTTAATGAAAAATAAATATTATCGATTACTTTGCCAAAATACACTACTTCATAATAAAACTATTATTTAAAACTTAGTACATAATAACGTAATATGGTTTCGTTATCTTCATATCTTCAAACATACAAAATACACAAATTTCCGTTTAATATCCATTAATAAAACTAATGTCCTCTAAAAAACACATATTTAAAGTTATCTCTGTTTCTTTTTACCATATCATATGCAATAATACGCATTCATCTATTGTATTTTAATGAATGAAATTTGTCTCTTTCTATCCGCCGCGCCGGTACTGTTCTAACGCATGGCGGCTAGCGAATCAGTTGGTATGTTTCTTCTAACGCATGACGCAATATGACGCAATTATCCGACTAATACTTCGCACCCTTACAATGAAAGTGACCCAAATCAAAAAATTTAAAAATGAGTTTATACCGTAAAACCATCTTAAAAAAATATTTTGTTACATTAGTCACACTGTGGTGAAGATGAAATTGTGCAATTAAAGCTCGAATAGCACTGATTCATAAAGGTCCCTTTCATTTTGTTCTTTCAGTTTAAAAATTCTACTCCCGCGTCGAGATATTAACGCCGCATTTATTGTTGAATCTGCATTTGCAAAGACAACACGCTGCCACTGACGGATTAGCATTTGAGCCATTTTCGTTCCGAAAATCATATTCAAAAATCGTCGAAAAAAAATCTAGTAGCAGTAGAGCTCCTTGTGAGTTCGTCCAGGGTAGTACTGCCACATTACCGTGTTACAGTTTTGAAGGGTAAGGGTGCTGGTGAAATTACAGGCACATGGGACTTGTCAACTATGTCTCAGAGAGATGAACGCCGTAGCAGTAGCCTTCGAGCGGCAGTGCTACTGTTATGGACAGGCGTGACGCTTTCCACCGGGTACACGACTTGTTCGACCCGTCGCTTAATATTTAAAAAAAATATATTTTTTTAGTAACTTACTTTTTAAAGGGACTGACTTTTTTGTTTCGTGGACTTTCTTCTTTTTTAATTGTGAAACAGGGATCACAAAACAATATCAAGGGTTATGACATCTTGCTTAGCTGATGAACATTAAAAAGACTTAATTCTTAATACGTTGAATGATAACAAAAAAATCGTTAAAAAAAGACCTATTGGCGACTAGTTTTTGTAAATTATGTTTTTAAATTGTTGAACATTAAAATGATCAGAAACAATTTTCAGTTGTAAAGTTCCATTTTTCCTCATTATTTTCAAAGACTAATAAGGCCATCACCTTTAGTACTTCAAGAGTAATAAATAAAATAATATGAAAATGTCACAACTTGAATCTTATTTTGCGTATTCCCAAAAAGTTGAAATTTTGTATTGGGACACTTTCATCGTAAAGGTGCAACCTGAAGGTCGGCAAACGTCAAGAAATTAGTTTTGATCGTTGACTACGAATTAATTATTATAATTTTCATCACTTGCTTGGAAATGAAAATATCGTGAGAAAACTTGGATTTCGGAGATAATTGCCGAAATCTTCAAAGATGCGAGAATGTCAAGTCTCCAACCATTACTTACTATGCAAGTGTAGTGGACTAAACCTTGTGCAAAAAATAGTACTTTACTAACTTACATACGTCTATTGCTGAGCACACGTTTCTAACAACAGGTTTACGCTTAATTTGACTTATCTACACACGACAACTTTCTGTGTATGGGTTTATTACATGGTGAAATTGAAATAATTAACATCCGTTGAACCTATTAAGGTTCTTACTTCCTAATAATATCTACTCATCTAAAGAAATATTTTAGAATAGTTTAAATTAGCAATAGTGTAAAACCATAAAAAATCTTACCTAAATAAACAAAGTATCAAGATTAGTCGCCTTGCGTACGCGATACGTAATCGTAGCGAAGTCACAAGCCTTTGGCGGCAACTTTGGCGGCAAAAATATCACCTTTGATTTTCCCCGCCAGCATTTTGATTTTATACATCGTGATGTGGAGTAGTGAATTAATGTTAGACTCGTTTCGGAGGTCGTGGATTCGAATGTCATAGTTGACTGGCTCTATGGTGTAGGTTAGAGTGTTAGGCTTTCGTTTCGGCGGTCGTGGATTTGATTCCCATAGTTGACTGCCTCCATGGTGTAGTGGTTAGTGTGTTAGGCTTTCGTTTCGGATGTCGTGGGTTTCCGATGGGTGACTGCCTCCTTAGTGCAGTATATCCGTAATCACCCAGTCAGTTCTTGCGTTGTGTGGAAGTGGTACGGGTGATGGTCAGAGTTATGTTTACAAAGAAAGACGTATGCAGTGCAACGTTGAAGGTCGTAGATACGTAGGATATAGGTATTCGTTTAATGTGTATGTAATGATGTAATTTGTATCATGAGAAGGGTCTTATTTTAAAAGGATGGTAATAATTTTAATTTCATCCTGTAGGTACATTATGAAAACGTTACCCTATATTCCAAAATTTGCGTTTCAGTCGGCGTCCTTTGATGTGCCGCCGCTAAGGCAGAGGCACTATTTTTTTATTTTTTGTAACAGTCTGTAATTGCCGTTTGCGTTGTGAGGACTAAATAGGTGTCATCGTTTTGTTTGTGTCTCGTTTTTGTGTTTATTTAAACTATGTCACGCTTAAGCAATAGTGATTACTATGAGATGATGTTGTGCGTAGGCGCAGCCGATGGGAGCTTGCGCCAGGCTCGCCAAATGTATTGGGCAAAGTTTATTGATGGCGTCCCAGAAAATCGACGTCGACCATTTCCTACTCTGGAATGCTTCAGGAAGATGGTTATGAGACTTCATAATAGTGGATCGTTCCGTGGTTCCAGTTCTGAAGGCCGGCCGAGTTCACGAGACCCAGAATTCGAGGCAGATGTTTTGGAACATTTTCTCGGCAATCCAAAGACAAGTACTCGTCGTGCTGCGGCAGCCTTTGGTGGTGTGAACCATATGAGTGTGTGGCGTGTGCTACGGGATGATGGCCAGCACCCATACCATTTTCAAAGAACGCAGGAGCTGTTACAAGCGGACTATGATCCACGTTTGGCATTTTGCCGCTGGTACCGCGACCAGATTGGGAGGTCTCCCGACTTCGCTTCGTCGGTACTGTGGACAGACGAGGCGTCATTTACGCGTGCGGGCATTATCAATATGCATAATGAACATTTTTGGACTCATTTGAATCCCCGCGTATCAAGGGAATCAAATTTTCAACACCAGTGGCGGATTAACGTGTGGGCTGGTATAATAGGTTGTGCCGTCATCGGTCCAGTGTTTTTGCCGGCAAGTCTGAATGGGGCCAATTATTTAAGATTCCTAACAGAAGACTTGGATGACGTTCTGATGGCCCTGCCAGTGACACAATACGTGAGACTCGTGATGGAACACAGGATGACTTTCCAGCACGATGGAGCACCCGCACATTTTGCTCGAAATGTACGTTCCCATCTGAACGACCGTTTCCCGCAGTGGATTGGGCGGGGAGGTCCTGTACCCTGGCCAGCGCGGTCCCCAGACTTGACACCGCTCGATTTTTTTTTATGGGGTCATATAAAAAATATTGTTTATGCGGAGTCCTGTGAAAGCGCAGAAGAAATGAGGCAGCGGATCGAAATGGCATTTAGTCAAATCACTCGGCAGATGCTTCAAAGAGTAGAGCAGTCTCTGTACCGACGCACGGAAATATGCATATTGCATGGAGGTCGGCATTTTGAACCTTACCTGTAAATGTGTGAAATGTTCCAGCAGTGCGTGCATTGATTGTACTTATTATTCAAAATTATCG